ATATATAAATAGCCGAGAAAAATAACAGCACTCGTGGCCTGATGTTTGCATCTAGCATGAAACAGACTGTCGCCTCTAAGTGTTGACTTCTATATAGCACATCTTAAGACTATATATATATATATATATATATATATATATATATATATATATACGAATGAGTTTGAGAAATATACACACACATGTTTTTTTTTTTTTTTTTTTTTTTAGTGAATTTGGAGTAGGTTGAATAGCAAAATGAAATCAGAGCATTTTTTTACTGATGAGGAAATCTGATCTAGAGCAGAAGTTGTACCCATTGAATCTGGGTCATCAGTAGACAAGGGAAATGGTCGAAATAATTTTTATCAATTAAAAATTGAAATAGTGCTAAGTAAGCTAGAAGGAACTTTGGAATTCACATGATTTTGGTTGAAGAAGCCAGAACCCCGTGATATTCGCGTGCGAAGTAGTAGAGCCGAGGGTCAGTTATAACCAGCCTGGTTTATCTATATAAACGAGTAGTGATGCTGCAAAAGGCAGACGAGAGAAAAATTCTAGAAGAGAGAATTGGCCCGGGTGATCATTGGGAGGAGGAACGCCACTATAACTTTAAGCCCCGCACAGAAATCTTTATCCCTCCATTGCAAGAGTCATATATCGTTCTGCGACAATTTTACAAGGTAATCACACACACTCTCTCTGTCTAGAATCCAGTGTATCAGGTTTTTTTTTTTTACTTTTCTTTTCTGTAACCTGTTTCTCTTTTCTACTATTCTTTTTTGCTATATGAAAGACATTACCAACTCAACCATTGAATCAATGTTTGTCTGGCTTTCTGCAGATATTAATTTTTTCATTTTTTTTTTTTTTCGGCATTCTAAATTTCCTAGCACAGATTCCCCAGCTGTGTCTACATCTTCAGTCGAACGTGAATGGATGGACATCACTTCTGCTCATTGGATCAAAAAAATCAGAACTTGGGCAGGAAGCAGGATGAAACAAGCGGACCGGTAGAATAATCTACAGATGCTCAGTTGGCCTATGGCCACTTCCTTAAGTTCAGTTAGGACCGAGTAGACACCTCAACCCCGAGAGTAAGACGCTGGAGGTTGAGGGGCCCAGGTGAAAGTGTTAGATATATATATGCATGTGCATATATAATATATATATATATATATTTATGCATGTAAGAAATGTTCATGGATACCTCAATGTTGAAAGAAAATGAAGCCTACCCTTTCAAGATGAAATCTCTGACGAGGAAATGTTCACAGATACCTCAAGTAATGAAATATCTGAAGACTAACATAGTGATGATGAAGAGGAACAATATGATTTGGAAACTAAGGAAGACCAGTCACTGCACAAATATAGTCATGGGAACAAGACAAAACTAGATAGATCTAGATCTCCCAGAGAAAGACATACCTTAAGATCCCAAGAGAGAGAAAGAAATCCTGTAAACAAAATGATCGAAACACAAGAAAAGCAAGGGACACAAAAACCCTTCATTACAGAGAGATGTAGTTATATGTAGATTAACTAATTAACATATCTGGAATGCCCAGACTAAATAATATCTCTGACTAGGAGGAGGGACTATGCATGAGCATTGAGTAGTAACATGAAGGATTTAGGACTTTGCAACACAAACTTTTACCTTTGTCTAGTGCAGTCACAATAATGCAACTTTCTTTTTTTAATCACTTCACCCTAAGCAAGCTGATAAAAACACTGAGACACCAGGGGTTACTGAGAGCAAAACAGAATAAAAGAACAGGATGCAGGGAGACAAAAGATGATAACTGACATAAATTTTTGAAGATCGTATCTGGTAGATAAGCTAAAAACTGGAAAGAGTTCCACAGGCGAGAAGTGTGAGAAAAGAAAGTATTAGAATAGGACTTACAGTTACATCTAGCTATTTCAACTGTAAAACAATGAGGGTTAGTTTCCAGTTTAGTGGTATGCTTAAATTCAAAGGAGAAGAGCTCATTGGAACAATTGTCATGAAAATATTTATAGAAAAGACAGGGGAAAGCCATGTCACAGCAGTGGGAAAGTGACTGAAGTCGAGATGCTGAGTGAGGATCAATAATATTACAAACCCTTTGGATTTATTATTGAATCTGCCATATCTGGTTCTGGTACTCCTAGCAGGAACACCAGACCAGAGATGGCAGCAATATTCAATGTAGGGATGAATGGTAGACTTATAAATGTACAAGATATATTCTGTTGAGAAAAATTGTCTGGCATGACACAGAGAATCAACTATCCTAGTAATTGATTCAATAAAATTGCTCCACTTCATGTCAATGGAAAACATGGGATCAAGAAGATGCAATGAGTTGCTCTCCTGGATGTTAGCATCAATGGAATGGAAAAATGCTTCTCTATAATAATTAAAAGATAGCAGTTTTATTTTGGAGGTGTTAGTTTTTACAATTTTCCAGTTAGCAGCTGTTTGGAGGTTATTTTTGAGAACAGATGCTAGTTTTATTTTGTTAAATGGTGTTTTTGTTTGTTAAAAACAAATTGATGGTTTAAATTCTCCAAGGATTCCTGCTTTTAAACTCTACCCTCCTCATATAAATATGAAGAGAGTGGGATTTTAATTTCTGAAAATTTCACAAAATTAAGTGAGGGTAAAAGATGTAAAAACAAAAAGAATATTTTAGTGAAAGAGGTAATCAGCTACCTCAAAAAAGAGTTCATATTTTGTGTGCAATCTGCCAAAGAAAAATTACCAAAAAGTAGTTAGCAAAAATCTACTTTAAGGACTAGAATCTATGCTAATGTTCTTCCCTCCTCTGAATGGCGTGACCAATCAGAAAGATCTCTCGGTGAACAAAAGCCATTGTTTTTTGCTTATGTGAGAATTAGATTTTCTGAGCTTGGTGGACGAACATGCATTTTTGCTGGTGAGAAGTGAAGGTTGCATTTGTGACCCCATTTTGTTGTTTGTATGTTGCCTGTTGGACTGTGATTTGGGTACAAGTGTTGCAGTCGAGAGACAGAAGAAATCTATTGCAGACGCTTGTTGCTACTATAAGCTGACAGTTTTTCTTTTCTTTTTTCTTCTTTTTCTTTTCTTTACAACTACAAAGATAAAAAAAAATTAAAAAATAATTTAATTCATTTGTGAATAAGTTCCGAAAATTTCATTGAAATCTGACAATTATTTGATTTTTCAAGTATTTCCAAAACAATGTTTTTTACAACAAAAAAAACTTAAAATTCCCATACTAATCTTTGGCCCACCTGCTGATGCAATAAAAACAAGATTCTTAGCCAAAATTTTGAATGTGCCAGAAAAGAATAAAAAATTTAATAAAATAATCAAAAAATACTTTGCTCTCTTAATAATGATGTAAATATATTGACAATAAAACTTTGTTTTTATCAAGTTTGGGGCCTTTTTTCATCATGGTATGCTCTTTTTTAGCAAATCTAATGTACCTACATTAATCCATGATGAGTGTTTTTAAGCTTTTATAGGATTATGTTGCAGGACTTTTCAATTAAGATTAATTTCTTTAATAATAGTGTGACTAACACAGTGTACACTCCACTTAGGCAGATTATAGTAGGTTTAGCTTATTCTGGCACAGCCTCATACAAATAAAGCACCTATTGAGGTATGAATTCCATAGCAGTTGCCTGTCAGACTTTCTTGCTAAATATTGCTTTACAACAGGTACTCACAAGAAAAAAATGAAAAAGTCATACAACAGTCATCATCATTATTTTCTTCTCATTTCCTTTTATTCATCTCTAATTGGCACACAGATGTTCTATCTTGTCTTCATTTTGGAAATCATTTGATTTAATGTTACATTTTAGCACAAGTGAAAAATGATCAATTCTTATTCTCAATTTGATAAATGGCATAGATATTTATTAAACTTAGTCTATTCTGTGACAACACCACAATAAGGATCAAACTCACTTGCAATGGTCTTTTAGATTAGATTAGCTAATTTCACTCTATGAAAAATATTTTTTTAGTGTTTTTTTTTTTTTTTTTTTTTTTAATCCTAAAAATTAGTAGAATCAATTGATATGGCTATCTCTTCCTCATTATTTGATATGAGGCTAGAGCAGTGGAGCATTACATTAGCAAAATGAACTGAGCTTGACAAGCCTTATATTATGATAAGTGCTCAAGAAAAATCAATATTCTTGGCGGGAACTGCATCATATAAGGATATACAAGATTTTTCCAGAAAGTATCCAGCCACTTAATAATTGGTTGTGCAGTTTCTATGTAAAATGGAAATCAATCAAGTGGGCTGTGCATGCTTAAACAAACACTTTTCTATGACATAATAGTGAAACAACAATGAATGAACTTGTGTATTATGTGACCTTGCATTCCTAGCAAATATGCATAAAAATTTACTCAGCTTCCTTTTTTCTTTTTTTTTTCTTTTCCCACTGCCATTTCTACAATTTTCATTTCAAAGCTTAAAGTTAGAAACCAATATGAGAAGACCCAGCTTGGGAGAGAAGAGATGGATTCATGCCTTTCCCCCAAAGTTTTAGTCTGAATTGAGCATAAATGGATTTTGAGATTTTGAACTTGGCTCTTGAATTATTTTTCTTTTTTTAACCTTTGCATACCTGCATCTCTTAATCTGTAACAACTAATAGGAAATGAACTCACCACAATAGCAATTGCTCACAAGGCAAGGCAATCTTGTTTATTACTGTTTTATGCCAGAAATGCTACCTATTGATAATGGTTAAGTTTAGCTTAATGTGGCATCAAAGTCACTAGACAAATCAGTGATTAACTTGTTTTATTTGCTCTGCAACATGTGTTTAGATATTTATTAAGCTTAGCTTAGTCTGCTACAAGGCCAAAAGACTGGAGACACCTTGGAGAATTTCCAAACTGTACTAGTTATAGTTGTGAATACTAGCTTGTTAACCATTACTACTGATGCCTGATTTTTCCTTATTCTTGATTATCTTTTACTTATTTAAGACATTTTCTGTTTTAATTTATTCAGTTTGAGAAACACAAGGGAGGCCATCCGGAAAGAAGTGGAGACTTCAGCCAGGGAGCCTGTCATATACTCAGAGGCAGAGATGTATCAAGAATATGAGATTCCTGAAAGTATTAAAAAATCTGAAGACATGCTTCCTAAACATTCACTACATAAAGTGTCATATACTCGGTCAGTATGGCAAATTTTCAAGTCATTTAACAAACAAACCAATATGTATTTCTTTTTAATCACGTAGGAGCAGCATATTAACAAAAAACCATTGTGGTTAGATTAAACTGGACACAACCAATCAGCTTTATAATGTTTAGGATAGAGTTTTTATTTCAATTCCCATGTATCTAGTTTTTAATGTTTGCTTTTGACCATAAAATATATAAAACAGATAATCACAAAGTCTCTCTTTCTTTCTCCCCCACTCTATCTATTCATATATATATATATATATATATATGAATAAAGTGTTGCTGCTAACACTGGAGTTTGAACACAGATCACCAGAGAGTAAACACAGGCAATCCCATTTTAAATAAGTAGATCACATGATGGTAAAGGAAATGTATATATGGGAATTAGCATGGCGTCCTAGTGATCACTATATGGATTACTATTCGGTGGTTACTTTTCAAGCAAGTACTATTAGTGTGAGTGTTATTCGAAGGCATCTGACATCAGTATTGTTCAACAGCATTAGTTGTATCAGTGATTACAAAGTCTCTACTACAACGAGCATCACAAAAGTGGCAACGAGTGTTAGTTGACATCACAAAAGTAGCAACAAGGATTTGTTGAACTTACACAAGGATTCCTTCAATTTACATGAGGAAAAAATTAATCTGCAAAATATTCAGCAGAATACAACGGAATGGAAGAATTATCATAGTTCAAATGTTGCAGCAGCAAAAATTACAAGAACAACAATTGCTGCAACAAAAACAACACCATGAACAGCAATTACAGTTACAACTACAACAACAACAGGAGTTTTTTGATTTGTGTACAATCCAGATGATGTGATAAATTTTCCAGCTTATTATAGAAGATATGAAGGGATCTTCAAAAGGAATTGTTTGTATTGGAATGATAAAAAGAAAGTTTGGTTATTATTAAGGAAATTGTCCCCTGCTGAACATGAAAAATATGTAAATTATATTTTGCTGAAAAAAACCAGGAGAGATAAATTTTGATGAAACTGCTCTTATACTATGAAAAATTTTGGTGATAGGAATTCATTATTTAATACACAATGTCTTAACTTAGTAAAGTATGATGACGAAGATTTTGTCACTTATGCAGGAGTTGTGAATTGGGAATGTAAAAAGTTCAAGTTAAATGTATTAACTCCTGATTCATTTAAATGCCTAATATTCGTACAGGGATTAACTTCTAATAAGGATGCAGAGATAAAATCCAGGATACTTGCTGAATTAGAAAGGGATCCAAAATTAACTCTCCAGAAAATAGCGGAAGAATATCAATGTATTGTGAATTTGAAACTCGATACTGCAAGGATTGAGGAAAAAGACAATTCACAAGTACATAGTGTCTGATCATCTTAGAAAAAAACTACAAATGTTTTTCAATTCCTAACAGAATAGTAAAAAAGACTATAACCCCTCCTCAATACCTAATACTTGTTATGGTTGTGGAGGTAAGCATTTTAAAAGAGATTGTTTCTCCAAGAACAAAAAATGCTATGAATGTGGGAGATTAGGACACAAAAGTACATGTTGCAGATACAAAAAAATAGAGAAAAAACATATGTGAATATAATAAATACACGGAGTAATGATAAGAAGCCTAAAAGGGAAATTAGCAAGACATCCCAAAAGACGAAATTTGTTTTTGTGCAAATTAATGATGTAAAAATAAAATTGCAACTAGATACAGGATATCACTATCATAAATGAACAGACATGGAGAAAAATATGGTAACTTCTGATAATATTGCTTTTGTGGGGAAAAATAAAAAAGTAGTGGTTTTTGTATTAAAAAATACTTTGGAACAGACTGGATTGTATTGTTTGATCTTTAGGACTTTCCAATTAATTCTTTGCAGCAAGATAAATATTGTTACCCGCCCCCCCACGCCCTGGTACTAATATGGCAACTGAAAAATTGAAAAATGAACTGAAAAAGAGTTTTCCAGAAGTTTTCTCAGAAAGTCTAGGGACATGCATGAAAGCAAAAGCTAAGTTTGAGTTAAAAGATAATGTGTGACACCTAGTGGGGCGTTCTGGGGTTGACTCTTAGTCACTGCCACCAATATGTGAGCCAGTCGATCAGTGGTCGTTGCTAGCTGGCAGAATCCTTTGGTCAGGATACCAAATGGGATGGTTGGTTGATTCTAACAGCATGAATACGTAACAGATTCTTACCAGATGCAACTGGTTCATCGTTCTCAGCTCGCCTCCAATGACTGGTTACCGAAGTAACTACTTCAATCTCAAGTTTAACCTACCCACATTGTGATTTTGATCTTAGGGTGACAAGATCAATCAGACACTGGGGCTGTCATGTAAGGTGAGTCTAAATTGGAGGTGATGTTGCACAAAGCAAAAAGAAATAAATGAAAACCAAAACGGTTTGGGTATGTTTAAAGAAAGCAAATCAACTTTTATCAATCTGTTATATACAGGAGTGTGTTTTCTTCCCAACCCATTTCTGCTGAGAGTGACACTTTTATACTTTTAGGCAAGTTCTGGTTTTCTTAGTCAACTGGTTTAGTTTTTAGGCACTGGCTTAGCTTTGTTTGATAGTATAACTTGCTGTTTGTAGAAAGGTGAAGTTGGAGGCTCTCACATTGGCAGCAATTATGGAATCTCTCGGTCAGCTCTGGACGGCAATTCTTTGGCTCCTGCTTGTGGCTACTGCTCTAACTCCAACTAGCTGACTGGTGAACTGCCTGAGGGTGCTCGCTTATATGGACTTCAACCAAAACCTGGTGCGTGGTTTGATGCAGTCTGGAGTTTTCGTTGAATCCCCGATTTCCAACAAGGGTCCCTTTGTTGTCTGGTCAGGAAAATTAATTACTTTCTATTTCTGGGGGGATCCCTTCATCCGTGAGGAGAGATTGCAGGATAGCTATCCTCCTAAACTCCTTCCTCCTCACACCAATTCCTTTCGATTGGCGTTAGCAACTTCTCCTCTTTTCTCACTACCTTACCTCTGCCTGTCACTACTGCTACCATGTGACCAATGGCGTCTTGGTCATTCTGGTGTGGCTAAGCTTGCTTCATTAATTAACTATTTGACATTTTTGCTTATTCAGGATTTCTTATCCTATTCCCAGATCATGAGCAGTTTAGAATTATCTACTGGAATTTTGTTTACAGGGGTAAAATATTGAAAAATGACTGTTTTGTCATCATCTGAACAAAATATCAAGGAAACTTTTGATCTGAACCCCATTAAACTAGGTATTTTCAGGAAGCAAACAATATGTTCTTTTATTTAAAAGTAAAATTGGCTGGTGTAAATGACTCAAAAAATTTTTTCAGGGGTGAAAATGTGAAAAACTAGTGAAAATTTTGTATTTTTTCTAGTTCTAAACAAAAAAATTCCCCAATAATAGGAAAATTAACCTTTTTTTTTTTCTTTTGAAAATCAGAAAGCCTAAATCATAATCAAACTATTCCAGGCATAAAATTGAGAGTTTGAAGGAAAACAATATTCCTTCCTAGGGGGTCAAAATGCAACAAAGTCCATTGGTAATTTTCAATTACATAGCTGCCAGGGGTTAAAAAAATTGACACCTGTAGAAAAATCACGTGGTAAAGATAAACACTTAGTTGTGGAGCAAGCTAAGTGAACAATAATCCAACCTTTAGAAAGAGAGCTATTTATGTTGCCATAGAGCATCTCATTGTGCTAAAGTGGGATAGTCCATTGCTTGGGCTGTGATTGGCTGCTGGTACCTGAGTGGAGGTATTTCTATATAAATACCAGCTTGATTCAGCTGTTAGTTTGCAGGGTTTGTATTAAGTTACAACCTGCTTTATTTTTGTCTGCCAGCTGGACGCTAGCTGGGACCTTTACACCGGTAAGTGCTGTTTATTATTGTTATTCTACAACACCTGGCCACAGAAATCTTTAGTAAAAGGCAAAAGATTTATCCACAATTCCTAATCACCAGAAACCAGTAGTTTATAGCAGCGATAAGGAAAATTAAACCAAATTGACTTTGACATATCTGGGTCAAAGGCCAGTCAGCGCTAAATGTTGAACAAGCTGTCATCAGTTTGTAAATCCCACCACTTACAAGATAATAGCAAAGAGTGAAAAAAAAAGAGGAAATATTGGTAAAAAAGGGCTTGATATAGGTTATTTTTTTTTTTCAAAACCTATGTTTGAACAATGGCTTGATGTGTTTTTTGTTTTGTTTTTTAACACCTTGTGACCCAGGTGATGACAACAACACTTAGCAGACAATATTGTTTTTTTTCGCTGCATGTCTTTCGTATTTCCCATCGTTGGGTCATATAGCAGTTCCTTTTATTCAATAATGTTCACACCAACTTAAAGAGAAGGGTCAGAGTTTGAAAAAAAAAATTGTTTTGAAGCGAAAAAAAATTTTTTTCATAAAAAAAAAGGTGATATTTCTCAGAAAATTGGCCATAATTTTTTAATGCTAACCCCTGAGTGACATTTTTCACAGCCAAATCGAAGGTTAATTACCAGTGAATAATTCCATGTGCAAACAATAGCTGTCTGGATCCTATAACATGGCCCGAAAACATCTAGAAGTTAACTGATTGATCAAAAACTTTTTGCACATAATTGTGTTTTCCACAGTCAGTTTCCATTATTTCAGCTTGATGTTGTCATTTTTGGACAGCCAAGTCATCAAGGATTCAGGAAAACAGTTTGGCACAGGTTTGCTTTGAGAACTTTGCATTCTATGAGGGGTTTATAATGTTACTGACGAATGGGATTTTTTGCCAAATATTTCATTCAAGTGCCATGTTGGATTTTCCTATAGGACAAAAACAAGTGTTTTAAACAGCTA